CTCTTGTGTTCCTCATCAGCATCAACAACAGTTCGCGGGCCACCCATCCCAGCTTGGGCTACGGATCTTATGCATGGTCTTTTTCAGATTCCAGGATGGCGTTAGACTGCCGTGTGATATCGCACGGCAGACTGCGTCTCGGTATTGAACCAAACCGTCGTCCATGGCTTTGAGCAAGTGCTGAAGCCAACCGACACGGACAAGCCCGCGAGCTCGTTTTGATGTGTGCTCACAGCACATAAGGTCTTTGGACCAACCCCACGATATGCCTACACCTCGCGATCTTACTGCGCAAGAGTGTCAACTACTTTTTTATTCGTTCGAGTGGGAGAACAAAACCAACGGTCTAGACAACCGGTCCGCTCCACCCTGATACCGTCGAGATAGTGCGGCTTCAGGACTAAAATCGGACGAACAGATCACAAGGCATCTCACACGAGTTGCACGTGGTGCGTTCTTAATTCACCTTGATTGGTGTCATTATAGTAGAGAGTCATTATTCCTAAACCCATGTCACCGAGTTGTACCTGCCATCAGATATATATGAAGGGTATTCCGACATCCTCTGCGCAAGAATTGCAATTCCACTCCATCCCTCGAGTCATTAAACTTCTGTCAAATCCAGTGCTCGCCAAAGATGTGCTTCTCGTCCATGAAAGACAACAAGAACTTGGACACCAGGCGACCCGTATAGTTGGCCGCTACATCTCGCGGGAACGGGTGCTGCTCGTGGTCGGTCGATAGGATTGGGTCATCCGCCAATCCTTCGAGTTCCTTGCCTATACACCACATGTCAGCATCGACGGTTTAATCATTGGATTGTCGGGTCAGCCTACCGTTCTGATGGATCAAATTCCTCAGGCCCAAGACCATCTCTATGGCTGGTCCGTCCAAGTCGCCTTGCTGGGCCCATGAGTTGTCGAGCATGGGATTGAAGGGCTTGTTCGCCGTATCCCGGCTGTGGGTCTGGTAGATCTGGTGGAACTGGTACGCGAACTGCTTGAACGGCATGTTTTCGACCGCTGCGTTAATATTCAGGGCGTCCTGCCGTTTGTATTCCGGTGGCGTGTGGTTACGCAGGCTAATCTCGTTGAGAGCCACCACAAAGTTATCTGCGGATGTCTCGACCGATTCCATAAAGAGGCACAGTACCAGGAACGAGGCCATACACGGCGCCCACTCCTGTTTTGACTTAGGCTTGAGCAACTTTGAGAAGGACTCAAAGAGATGCTGCATGTCCCTCATCAGGAGCTCGTCAATTACCGCCTTGATCTGCCTGTTGACGACACGTGGGGTCACCCATGGTACTTCCTGAGGGACGAGACCAGAATCCTGGAGGCCCACGACACTCTGCCGTGTGATGCAGAGGTGGCGGGTCATGACGAAGTGGGCGCCGTAGATCGCCAATGCCTTCTTCACCATTGACGACTGGGTCGGGTCAACCAATGCTCTTACGCAAGACAGTCAGTAGCATGGCAACTTACATCAGACTTATTGGCGTATATCTGCACAACGTCCAAGACCTTCTTTGGCAACTCGGTGTGCCGTATTGACTCTGTCACTGATTTTGCGAACCTCGGTTCGGCTGCGATAGCAGCGAGGTACTCCTTCACCTTCTTCCTCAAGGCCTCCCTTTGAGCTGCCGAATCCAACTCCAACACCATAGGTGCCGAGCCTCTGGCTTGCAGGTCTATCCGGTCTTTTTGCACATGCAGATGGTAGTGCTGCTGTACTTCCTCCGTTCGAGGCTTGAAGAACCTCGCTCGAACCTTGAGCGACGCCGAGAGACCAGAAAAGAGCTCTACCTCCCGAGGCGCTAGTTGCACCGCGTCAAGGTCGACATTCTCCTCCATGAATTTCGACATTTGATCCTTGCGGAAGTGGCTGCGCATGAAGTCGGGGAACAACACGGTCAAAAAGTCGGAGAATTGCCAGCAGACGACCTGCGGCACCTGGCTGGCAAGCTTTTTACAGCTCCTGCACGGCCTTTGCGAGTCGCACTTGACTTTGCGGCTGTGGCAGCAAAAGCAGGCACCCAGACGGCGAACTTGCAATGCGCTCTCCTTTGTCGCATTTGCCAGAGGCCCCTTGCGGCCACGCGTTTGAATTTTCATGGCTTCGAAGCACTCCCACGGGTTGGGGCGACCCGATGAGGCGTTGATGGAGTTGGGCGTCACGATGACGAATTTGTTTGCGGGCTCGGTAGCCTTCTTCTTCTCGACCTTGCCGGTGATAACCTTGCGGATCTGGCTGGCTGATGCTGCCCTGTCTCCCTCATGTTTGAGGTCCGGGGAGCTGGAGTTGGACTGGGAGGGGCTTGTGGATGTGGAGCTCTGAGACGAGGTTGCGGAAAAGTCCTCCATCAAGAACGTTGAGCTGCCATTGTCGACCTTGAGGTTCGTGGGGTTCCATGGGCCCGGGTTGATGCTATGAGAAAAGGTCTGTGACAGGTCGATACCGCCATCGTGCTGTTGTTGCGGGAATGTGTCTAAGCCGGTCAGGGAGGCATTGTTCGATTGGAATGAGTTGACGAAAGATGTCAGTTCTGAGAACAAAGACAGTTAGCTCACGTATACTTGAAAGTCGGCCACGGGTGGAATGAGGACTCACCATTCAGGTTCAGCTGCTCCTCTGCAAAGAGGAAGCCCTGTGGTGTCAAAAAATTGGATTCTTGGCCGCTGGGAACGAACTGGCTATCAACAGACGGCGCCGGGGCAGCAAACGCCTCCGCTTGGTCGGGGAAGCTCGAGGCGGAGAAGGCGGGCTGGTCGAGGTCGAGGTTTAGCGGGGATAGGCCCGCCGGGTCCGAGCCGGCATGGTGGCCGACGACGGCAAAGCCGTTGAGACTGCCGCTGGCCGGGCTAGGTAGGAAGCCGACTGAGGCCGGATACGAGGCGTAGTCGAGATACTGCCATGATTCTTCGGTGTCGGCCGCGGACTGCTGATCGTAAGGCGAATGAGGCGTCGGGCCCCTTGAGGAAACAGAAGCCATTGTAGTTTCTGTGAGTAGGCAGGACCTATAAGTGGCGAACCGTTGAGTCGCCGGCGCTTTCAATCCGCTCGGTGAGTTCGATTCGATGATTCCGTAGCCCCCTGTGGTTCTGTTGAGAAAACCGAACAACAGGTCCTTGTTTCCTCACAACGTCGAATGGCCAGTAATCCGGGGGGGCTGTGTCTGCTTACTTCCAATTCTGCAACTGGCGCGGGGGTCACTCTCCGGACAAGCGAAAAAAATGCTAGGCCTTGTCTCGTCTCTTCTCCCTTTCAACACTCATCGAAGTCGCGATTCGAATTGTCGTCGGCCGGACTCGAATAGATGTTGCTCAATCTCACGAGTTACCCTTTTCTCACCGTTCTTTATCGCTCGGGAAAGTCATGCAAAAGAGCGGGAACGAAGGAGAGACGGTGCGAAAAGGGCAGCCAACAAGATTAATACGAGGAGGGAGAACGGCGCTGTCACACACTCAACCCCCATGACAGCAGATGAGCGGAGGGACCAGTAAGCAGCGGCGCCGCGGCCATCCCGCGCAGACCCGTCAACCTGTAAGGTACTTTCTTGTGGGCACGCTGTGCTGCTGGATGAGCTGGTCCTGGTCTCCGCTCCTTCGGCCCAGCTGAGCCGCTAGGCCCTTTCTGGGACCGAAGGTGGATCCACTGCTCCACGAATGAGGGTGCTCTAACCCGATCCATCACCGGCAGCTCACCGGGGCCCGGAGCTGCGGGAGGACCCTACTGCCGCACCGGTGACCGTGGTGACCGAAGCTGATTCCGGCTCTTGCCATCGGGGAACGCACTTGGTGCCGCGGCTCCGTTCCGTGGCGAGAAAGGTTGAATTTCGGGAAACTTCAAGGCACAAGATACCTACCCTTACCTACCTTGCCAATTATACATCAGCGTTGCGTTTCTAGCAATCGGCACTGTCCTCTTCCCTTCTCCCAATCAAACCAACGTTGTTTCCTCCGTTTGACCTCCATCACCTGAGAGGCGCTTTATCAATGCAACGCCAACCCGACGTCGAACTTATTTTCACCACGAACCTTTAACGTACGAAAAGACTGATTTCTTATTCCGTTCTTATAATTGCCTCAGAGATCGACAGTAAAGCTCATACCAGCGAACCGGCCCGAGCCCCAAGACCCTTGATGATTGACCGTCATCCAACATCCCTCAGGATTGCATCCCGCTCCCCGTCGATATCAAAACCCCCAGCAGTCATAACATCAAGCCTCGAGTGCACCTTGACTCAAACCGACCTCCCACACTCCGCCACTCCGCGTCCTGTCGTTCTTCGCATTACGAACCGCCTCCAAGCATCTAGCTGCATGCATGTATCAGAGGACAATCGCTCCCCGGATCTACCAGAGTGGATAAGCTCCCAACCCGCCGGCATTCGACCTTTGTCCTCACGACACCGCCGTAGAAATACCAACGCCAACCTCGTTTCTCTACCACGATTACAATGTCGAGTCTGGCAAGCTGATCATCACGCCTCCTCTCTCGTGTGACTAGAACAACACCCAGCATCCCCCGCCAAGATAAGGTTTAGCGCGCGCGGCGCTTGACTAGCACTTACACGCACAACGTAAGGATACATCTGTCCGTCTGTTTGCAAGTCCAAGTTGGCACAGCTCAGACCACAAACCCCCTTCGGCGCGGAAGCTAAACGGGTCCATGCCGCCCGGCACGGCCTCCCCGCCGACGCCGGTGTCCAGGGTCACATATTGCCACTCGCCTCAGGTGAGAAAAAGAGGAAACGGCTGGTTTTGCTTGATTATATGCCGCTTCCGTCGGCATCCTGCCGCCATTCCTGGCCTGCTCCATTCCTCCTCTAGGCAGCTTGGCCGACACTACACAAGGGCCGGTGGTTTGTTTCGCGACCCCGTTGATAACTAGCGAAATTGAAGGCAGAATATCCAACTACAACAGGCCGGCTATAGCATCGTTGGTCATCCTGTTCACGATCCACCCCGACACGAAACTAGCTCTCACACCTCGAAACAATGATTCAGGATCCCGAGTCCGAAGTTGGCACAGCACCCTCGTCACAGACAGAAGCACGTTCCAATTCTGCCCGGGTAAACCCAGTGAGTCGCGTGCCGGGACGAACCCCCTTCTTCCACTGCGTCCTCCAATCTGCTTGGGATCCCACCACTTCAAGTCGATACGGTGGGATAATGTCCCCAAGATAGAAAATCCAAACCACCGCAACCATGGGCATTGCAAACCTTGTTCTGCCACACAGCTCTGCTTATTCACTCTCTAGTCAGCCAATATTCGAAACCACCTTCTACCGGACTCTAACGTTCTTCCAGAATTCCGCTCTTTTCGCATCCTTGCTTCCCTGTGCTCATGGGCTTTATTCCTAGCACCGGCCTGTCTGGTCGCGCCTTGGAGTTTGCCTTACCCGTACTGATAGCAAAGCATAAGGAACTCCCTTCCTGGCGACAATGAATCAATCGGACACCGCTATGTGGGCGATAGAACTGGAGAAAATCGCAAAACAGAGCACAAGCCAAGATGGGGCCTTTTGGCCTGTCTGCCATGTGCCCCGGTTTGCTTGTCATTCTTCAACACGACCTCACCAGTCCCACCAGCAACCTCATCGCATACTTGTCTTTGTAACCCTACCAATCACCGGATACTGTAAGTCTACATCGCACTATTCACCGGCTCTTTGCCTCGCCTTTGACATGAGTTGTCAAGGGGGGCACGCGGCGCAGTCCGACGGGATTCTATGCGGCACGCAGATCGCACCCCTTCTTTCCCATCCATCTTCAATTCACTTTTCCAACAGCTTGCTTACCCCCCGGTTTCATTGCTTCGCCTCCCCGGCCCTGACCCTTCTTCCCCGGGGGACCCATCAGGCGGGATGCGACACAACGGTCTCCCCATCGACTTACAGAGCTCCCTTGGTCGTTTTACAGTTTGCGTTCCCCGTTCTTGGCCAGGTGATAGTGTAAGATACATCCATCGATCGCCGCTGATGGCCCTTGGTGGTCCTTCCCGCTCAAGTCACACCGTCAGGCACGCAAGCAGGAACCCCATCGGCTGATGATCACCGTTCATTTCAGCCCAACCCAAGCGCCGCCGGGTGTGGGGGTTAACAAAGTCGCACCGATAGGACAGGGGCAGAGGCGACGGATACTTGGGTTCCTGCCACACCTGTCCTGCCATCATGCCGGGTTAACAAGCCAGATGGCGTAACTTTGGCTCCTGGAACTCGCGCAGGGAAGACGCGTGAGCACCCCCCGTCCCCTACTTGATGGCAGGAGTCAGGAGCCGTGCGACGAACAGAGCACTTCAAGTCATGACGTTTACGAACTGGATACCGGCACATTTGAAGGACAATGCGTAGATTTCTGGCGCTGAGAGAGCGCGCCCAGCCACGGGCTATAGGATATCAAACTGCCAAAGGCTCATCTAAGCCGCCCAAATCAAGTGAGTAGAGAAGAAAACAGCACTAGTATAGTAGGGATATGTCCAAATTGCTCTCTCTCTCGTGAACTGCACAAACAGAGACAAACAATACGCACAAGCGCAAAATAAACGTTGTCAAAACAGCCATCCGGTAGCCCAGTATAAGTGAAGGGTGTCTGTCAAAAAAAAAGATATGACCCATTGAAACAACTCCAGGCCCCCAAACCACGCCGTGGCAGTGCAGAAACGAATAGCAAGCCACCAAAATAACAGGGCCAATGTACAAAGAGGTTTCCGCCCTTTCCTGATGAACCTGTAGCGCCCACCGCTTTCCCTGTAGCATGCTCATGCCCTTTTTTGCTTGCGAAACCAAACCGTAAAGGGTCAAGTAAAGGTATGTATGTAAGTGTGTGTGTCGTGTGCGTGTGTAAAGAGGCAGGTCAGTCGAGAGTCCCTGGAGGCCGCAGAAGTAAAGCGAGGTTTTTCTGCCCACAATGGAGCGCCATTACCATTTCTCGTACAAAAATCAGATTCAAAAACAAACAAGACGCAACTCGCTTTGCCGAGAAGTGGAGTGTTGAGCTAAGCTAGAGCCTGTAGGTGTGTTCTCCTGCGTCGTGCCGTTGGAGGGCGCTGTCGTCCTGATGACGTCCCGGTTCCGTATCGTGGAATCATTTACACTCTTCTTCTCTTCTTCTAAAGAATGAGGTGGATTCCGCCCTTCTGCAATAACTTTCAATTCGTAAGGTCCGTAAAATGTCGTAAACAAATTGCCACGTTGGCCGCCAGCATCGAGACACTCGCCGTGGTTTGCTGCGCACGGCGAGGTTGTCAACTTCGGCCTGGGCGAGTATATGGTAGGAGGAAGCATGGAAGCACACTAGCTTCTGAACCGCTGTGCAGCGCGATCTTGAATTTGCTTCTCCGTAGAAACGTATAGTCGGTCGAGGTAGTCCATGGCGCTCGCGTCCTTGAGGATCTTGGCTACCTGAATGCCCGCCGAAATGAGCTGTAAAATGTTGCGGTCGTCCTTTAATGGGCGACTCTGGTGCTTGGCCGCATGTCGCATTTCCAATGAATTCTCGAGAATCGTGACAAACTGCTTAATCTGGCCGTTGTAGAGTACCCGCGCCGGGATGCGGCGCTTCGTAGCCAGGCGCTTCAGGAGGTAAACCCATTCTGTCCATTCTCGGTCCTGAGGTCGCTCGACAGGTCGCATGTCCTGTGTCAAAGGAATGGGGAACTGGTATTTGGCCACGAAGTCGTACGCGCACTGAGAGAGCCTGTCGTTGACTTGGGTGAGCACCAAGTCCTGCTCTTGAACGTGGAGGTTGGTAGGGAGATGGGGCAGTTCGCGTTCTTGCATGGCAATGTATTCTGGCGGCGGGCGAGCGAGAAACTGATGCGGGCCGTCGAATTCGTCGCGGTTAGAAGGTCGACGTTGTGGCCGACCCTTGCCATTCACCTTGCTCTTACTCGGGGGAGTGGTGCCAGCCCCGTTCTCGAGTGAATAATCAGAAAGGTTCGGGGATGCAATAATGTCGTCGACCGAGTCCGTCGGGGAGTATCTTTCCTGGTGATCCCATGATTGAGAGTTCGTACTCTTGTACGACCCGTAGCCGGCGGCACCACTGGTGCCGTATGTGCCAGAAGCTGGGCGCGATCCGTACGCCGGGGCAGCGGCAGCGGCAACAGCATGAGGATTGGTTCCGATCGGCAAATTGTAGTTACTAGCTCCTGGCGAGTACGTGGACACGCTTGAAAGGGACGGTGTTACTCGTTTGCTCCTTTGTGGGAATACATCATGAACAATGACGTCTGGTTCTTACCTCGATGAACGGTAGTAGTTGGTATCAAATCCTCCGGCAGGCGGGAATGTATCGTTGTACATTGAACTTTTCTCAACGGTCAGTCACCCCTCCTCGGGCATTGTTTGGAAATTAGGAGAGCGGTCCGTACCTCCGCGTCGAGTTCCACGGTCCGTTGGACATGGCTGATGGTCTGTAGGCAAAATCCGGCTGGGCCATATCTTCCGGGGGCATAACGGTAAAGAGAAAAGAAATCAGGCAGCAAAATGTTTGGAAATGTCCAAAGTGTCCTGAGATGGAAGCCACGTGAAATATGAATAGTCCTTGGGCGGGCAGGTCAGCCCTGGGTGTCCAAAAAAGAGTCCTTTGGGCTGTGATCTTCGGCCAAGTATTCCTAGGAAAATGCGGCAGGTTGTCTCCTCAAACACAAGGGAATCCACGATAACAAAAATGGTCTTGTTCCAGGATGGGACCCTTGAAGAACTCCGGGTCGTTGCAAGGGCGGTGTGCGTGATGGGGGGCAAGCAGGTGATCGGTCCAAGAAACGACCAGTCTCCACGAAGACACCTTAAATGACTTATAAGATGATCGGGAATGGCTTGACGTGAAAGACACTAGGGGGTTAGTGGGAGATGTCTGATCTTGCTGGCGCAAAATGGGAAAGAAGAAACCAACAAGCTCCTGGGATGGACGAGGATGGGGGAGCGGGCAGGATCCTGACAGTGGATGATTAAGTTCGGAATGGAGGCATTTATGTCTGCTTGCGATGTCCTTCCTCGTGGGGCGTTGTACTGGAGCGGCGACAATGGTTGATCCTGGTCAAGACAGCAAAAAGATGTGGTCCGTTGGGAAGTCGAGGCGAAGGGAGGACAGGGACCAGGACAGACGCAGGCCGGCGAGACTCGAGTAAAGATTTGCATTCGCCCCAATGACCAACACCATGGACTCATGGAGACGTCTCTGGTTTCAAGCGGGACGGCTGCCGCATGGGCTGGAGGATACGTGACTGCCAAGCGCTGTAGTCCAGAAGGTTCATCTGTCGGGCGTCCTGGAATAGATTGGTCGACGGTGGGAGCCCCAGGACAAGTTGGCATCCATCCCTAGCTTGTCGAGCGTGGATCGTGGGCACGACACGCGAGTGACGAGGGAGATCAGCGTGCCCTTTGATTGCTGGTGCTCTTCGTGTCCCCCTCTATTTTTCGCGCGATGCCAGGTCGAATTTTTGACAGTTGGCCCCTCAGTCAAGGAAGACCCCAGAAGGACGACGAATCTTATGGCCGGCCTGTGTAGGCTCACGCGTGGAAGCCATTGGACGTGCCAACTCCTGACGGAGGCCGGAGCCAGTTGTGTCGAGTAGGGCACCGATTGGGCTGTGACAGAAACTTTTCCTTTGCTGGGCTGGAGGATTGTTGCCCGAAAGGTCGGAGTAGCTTTTCGGTACCGGATGGGATGATTTGTGCAGGGTTGTACCTAGCGGGAGAAGAAGCGGTGACAACAGGCCGGGTTGGGCACAAATTGGACAAGCAAACACCGACGGCCGATACGATGAGGGGACGCGCGCTACGTGCGAAATATGCGTGCCCAACCATGCCTTGATGCCCACCTGGTAAGTCGAAGTTGCTTTTGTGCATCATTGAATCAGGAACCCTCCATCGAATACCCCGACAGTGGCATTGCTCGGAAGGGGTCGACTGACTATTTACCAGTCAACCAATCATGCAGCGCTTTAGCAGACGTTCATCGTTGTCAAAATCGTGGGCGTCTTGCTCCGCTGAATCCCGGGTGGCTTCTGCTGCTTTAGCAGTACCGGGTCGGTGACCTTTGGAGCCTCAATGATTCGCGGACCCGACAAATGGTATGTGTGATCTGAACGTAGCGAACGTGAAGCTAGTCACGGCGATATTGAGGCAAGGGAAAGCTTATGGATCCAAGAAGATATTGCTAGGGTTGGTCAAGATTTGGGC